AAAATTGACTTTTGTTAAATATTATTATTTTGACAGTGAGAAGCGATAAAACACCAAAATTTCAAATTTTTTGTCTTTTGAATTTGGTATTTTCTGACAGCTGTCAAAGTGGTTTTTAATAGTTGGATGTCTAAATGAACTTGTGAAAAAATTGACTTCTAATTTTTTGCCTCTTAAATTTGGAAATTATTGACAGCTGTCAAAGTTGTTTTTGATAGTTGAATATCCATTGGGCTCGTATAAAAATTGAATTTTGTCAAAAATTATTATTTCGACAGTGAGAAACAATTTAATATTTATAAAACATCAAAATTTCTAATTTTTTACCTCTTGAATTTGGGAATTATTGACAGCAGTCAAAGTGATTTTTAATAGTTAAATGTCCAATGAACTTGTGTAAAAACTGACTTTTGTCAAATATTATTATTTTGACAGTGAGAAGCGATAAAACATCAAAATTTCAATTTTTTTTTCGCTTGAATTTGATAACTTTTGACAGCTGTCATAATTATTTTTGATAATTGAATATCCAATAAACTTGTGAAAAAATTGACTTTTGTTAAATATTATTAATTTGACAGTGGAAGGCGATTTAATATCCATGAAACATTAAGATTTCTAATTTTTTGTCTCTCGAATTTGGAAATTATTGACAGCTGTCATAATTATTTTTGATAATTGAATGTCCAATAAACTTGTGTAAAAATTGACTTTTGTTAAATATTATTATTTTGACAGTGAGAAGCGAATAAAACACCAAAATTTCAAATTTTTTGTCTTTTGAATTTGGTATTTTCTGACAGCTGTCAAAGTGGTTTTTAATAGTTGGATGTCTAAATGAACTTGTGAAAAAATTGACTTCTAATTTTTTGCCTCTTAAATTTGGAAATTATTGACAGCTGTCAAAGTTGTTTTTGATAGTTGAATATCCATTGGGCTCGTATAAAAATTGAATTTTGTCAAAAATTATTATTTCGACAGTGAGAAACAATTTAATATTTATAAAACATCAAAATTTCTAATTTTTTACCTCTTGAATTTGGGAATTATTGACAGCAGTCAAAGTGATTTTTAATAGTTAAATGTCCAATGAACTTGTGTAAAAACTGACTTTTGTCAAATATTATTATTTTGACAGTGAGAAGCGATAAAACATCAAAATTTCAATTTTTTTTTCGCTTGAATTTGATAACTTTTGACAGCTGTCATAATTATTTTTGATAATTGAATATCCAATAAACTTGTGAAAAAATTGACTTTTGTTAAATATTATTAATTTGACAGTGGAAGGCGATTTAATATCCATGAAACATTAAGATTTCTAATTTTTTGTCTCTCGAATTTGGAAATTATTGACAGCTGTCATAATTATTTTTGATAATTGAATGTCCAATAAACTTGTGTAAAAATTGACTTTTGTTAAATATTATTATTTTGACAGTGAGAAGCGAATAAAACACCAAAATTTCAAATTTTTTGTCTTTTGAATTTGGTATTTTCTGACAGCTGTCAAAGTGGTTTTTAATAGTTGGATGTCTAAATGAACTTGTGAAAAAATTGACTTCTAATTTTTTGCCTCTTAAATTTGGAAATTATTGACAGCTGTCAAAGTTATTTTTGATAAATGAATATCCAATGAGTTCGTATAAAAATTGACTTTTGTCAAATATTATTATTTCGACAGTGAGAAGCGATTTAAATTTATAAAACATCAAAATTTCCAATTTTTTTTTTTTTCAATTTGGTAATTAATGACAGCTGTCAAAGTTGTTTTTGATAGTTGAAAATCCAATGAGCTCGTATGAAAATTGACTTCTGTCAAATATTATTATTTTGATAGTGAGAGGCGATTTAATATCTATAAAACATCAAGATTTCTAATTTTTATTGAAAAATATCCGTGTCTCTTGAATGTGGAAATTTTAGACAACTGTCAAATTTGAATTTTATAGTTCGATGTCCAGTGAGCTTGTAAAAAAATTGATACCTGTCAAATATTATTATTTTGACAATTAATGACAATTTAATGTCCAATAAGCTTAAAATGTGTTTGAATTTCATAGAAAAAAATTTGTCCCTTTCTGAATTAGGCAATTTTAGATAACTGTCAAATTTGAATTTCAGAGTTTGATGTCTAATAACTTTGTAGAAAAATTTCTACCTGTCAAAATGTCATTATTTTGACAATTAGACACAATTAATTTAAAGTCAAATTTATGTCATTTTCATAAAATAAAATTCGTCCCTCTTGAATCAGGCAATTTTAGACAACTGTCAAATTTGAATTTCAAAGTACGATGTCCAATGAGTTTGTAGAAAAAATGATACCTGTCAAACGTTATTATTTTGACAGCTAGAAACATTTAATGATCATTAAATATCAAAATTGGTGATATTTTCCTAGAAAAAATCGTCATTTTTAAATTAAGTGTAAGTGATTTTTGACAGCTGTCAAAATTAAATTTTATAGTTGACATTTATCAGAAACTGTCATTTTGACGATAAGAAGAACTTTGATGTTTATTAAATATTAAAATGGGTAATATTTCTATTGAAAAAAATCGGCACTCATGAAATAAGTGATTTTCACCAGCTGTCAAACATAAACTTGACAGTTGGATGCCCAATAAGCTTGTAAAAATATTGACATTTATCAGAAATTGTCATTTTGACAATAAGAGGAAATTTGATGTTCATTAAATGTTAAAATGGGTGATATTTCTATGGAAAAAAATTGTTACTCTTGAACTAAGTAATTTTTGACAGCTGTCAAAGTTAAATTTGATAGATGGATGTCCAATGAGCTTGTAAAAAAATTTATTTGCAATCATATATGTAATCTTGTCATTACTGACTTTTTAAAAATTTGAAAGTGACACTTTACCTGTGTCACTTCCCTCTTCGATTTGCCTTACCGATTTCCCTATTCGACTTCCCTCACCGATTTCCCTCACTCTAATTTATTTACCTTTGCTGGCAACAATGAGAACATGTTAGGTAAAAACGTCAAAGCAGTGAATGACACATTTTGGCATGTTTGTTTTATTTTTTTAATATTAAAAAAATTGATTAACTAATAATTGATGGTGTGCTTGCAAATAAAATAGTATACAAATCTTGGAGGAAAGTTTTTATTTCTGTCTCGAGATTAATAGTCTATAGTGACTATATATAGTGACTATATAAATCTCTCGACAGTAATGAAACACTTCCCTACTCGGTATGTAATATACTTTTACATTTATTACAAACTGTTATTTTGATAATGAGAGGGAATTTGTTATTCCATTAAATGTTAAAATGGATGATATTTCTATGAAAAAAAAATCATTACTCTTTAATAGTTGGATGTCCAATGAGCTTGTAAAAAAATTGACATTTATCAAAAATTGTCATTTTGACAATAAAAGGAAATTTGATGTTCAATAAATGTTGAAATGGGTGATATTTCTAGGGAAAAAAATCGTTACTCTTGAACTAAGTGATTTTTGACAGTTGTCAAAGTCACATTTGAGAGTTGGATGTCTAATGAGCTTGCAGAAAAATTTACTATCGGAAACTGTCATTTTGTTAATAAGAGGAAATCTGATGTTTATTTAAAATGTGATAATGGATTATATTTCCATGGAAGAAAATTGTCACTCCTAAATTAAGTGATTTTTGACAGCTGTCAAAGCTAAATTTGACAAGTAAACGTCCAATAGGCTTGTAAAAAAATTGACATTCATCAAAAACTGTTATTTTGAGAAAAAGAGGAAATTTGATGTTCATTAAATAATAAAATGGATGGTATTTCCACTCTTGAACTAAATGATTTTTGACAGCTGTGAAAAATAAATTTGCTAGTTGAATATTCAATGAGCTTGTAAAAAAAATACATTTATTAGAAACTGTCATTTTGACAACAAGAGGAAATTTGATGTTCAATAAGTGTTAAAATACGTAATATTACCATATAGAAAAATTATCACTCTTAAACTAAATGATTTTTGACAGTTGTCAAAGTTAAATTTAATAGTTGAATGTCCAATGAGTTAGTGAAAAAATTGACATTTATCAGAAACTGTTATTTTGACAATAAAAGGAAATTTGATGTTCCTTAAATCTTAAAATGGGTAATATTTTCATTTAAAAAAATTGTCAATCTTGAACTAATTGATTTTTGACAGTTGTCAAAGTGACATTTGATAGTTGGTTGTTCAATGAGCTTGTAAAAAAATTGACATCTATCAAAAACTGTCATCTTGACAATCAAACGCAATTTGATGTTCATTAAATGTTAAAATGGGTGATATTTTTATGGAAAAAAAATTGTCATTCTTAAACTGAATGATTTTTGACAGGTGACTCAATAGTTGGATGTCCAATAAGCTATTAAAAAAATTGAAATTTATCAGAAATTGACATTTTGACATCAAGAGGAAATTTGATGTTCATTAAATGTTAAAATTTCCGATATTTCCATGGAAAAAAATCGTCACCTTTGAACTAAGTGATTTTTGACAGCTATCAAAGTTATATTTAATAGTTGGATATTTAATGAGCTTGTAAAAAAATTGTCATTCAACCGAAACTGTCATTTTGACAATAAGAGGAAATTTGATGTTCGTTAAATTTTAAAATGGGTGATATTTTCATGGAAAAAAATCTTCACTGTTGAACTAATTGATTTTTAACAGCTGTCAAAATTAAATTTGATAGTTGGATGTTCAATAAGTTTGTAAAAAAATTGATTTTTGTTAAATTTAATTATTTTGACAATAATGTCAATTGAATATTAAAATTGTCACTCCTAAATTAGACAACTTATGACAGCTATAAAAATTGAATTTGACAGATAATGAAATTGTCAAAATGTTAATTTGATTATTGATTATCTATTATTAAAGAAATATGAAAAACATCCATAAAAATCACATCAACTTTCCATTAAAACTAAAAACATTTTTTCCGGGAAAAGTTTCTCAATGTCAAGATCAATATGAAACATCTAGACTCACCCCTTTTATCCCGAAACTAGAACACCGGGAGCAACAGGAACCGCCAAATAAATCGAGTCGCGAATAAAAAGAGGAAGCTCATGCAACTGAATCAACTCAACTAGGCATCATTATTTAATCATTTGTAGTGATAATAATTTAGAGTTAAACAAATAATAAGAGAAAAAAAATTGACTGGAGAATTTGAGCCAATTGGGCATTTTGCTTGGATGCGTGCGCACACAATCTGGAACAAGGATTCTGGAGAAAGGACCTTGAAATTTCAATAGATTTTCAGTATAAGGAAAAATTTAATCTAAAGCTTTGTGTAAATTCACAACATTGTTTGATTTTTTAGTATATTTTGACTGAAATCCTTTTTAATAAATCCTTAAGATTTCAAATTTTTCCTCTCAGTAGATTTTTAGTAGAAAAATCAAATTCAGGAGCTTTGTAGAGTTTTCCTCAAGCAAAATCAGCTCTATTTGAATACTTAAATTCACATCAACTTTCACAATTCAGGCTCAAATGATCTTCAGGTTTCAAATCAAATTCCAATGAAATAAATCCGCGAATTTTTTGAACATTGATCCGAACCAATTAGAACCTTGCTTATGACCGAATATTTGTTTTTCTAATTATCGTCTGCGATTAAAAAAATCGATAATTGTTATTGTCAATTGCTACTCAAACAGAGGCTTGTTTTTCAGAATATATATAATCTCGATAAAGATATTATATACATAGCTAGTTTATTTAAAATGTGATATAAATTCCATTTTGTCTCTTTTTTACCGTATGAAATCAATAATTTTATTGGAAAATTATCACTTCACTTCATTGATTTTTGTGTTGTAAATGGCCCGTTACATCATAAATTTCAAAAAGAATATGTACTTGAAATTCCAAGGATATTACATAGAATTCCAGCAAAATTACATGAAGAAATTTAAAAATATGACGTGAAATTGCAGCGAAATTACATGAAATTCTAGGAAATTATGATGAACTATTTCTAAAGAAATTACATCGAATTTTAGTGAGATTACATAGAATTCCAAGGAATGATGTGGAATATCAAAAAAAAATCCTTGAATTAAAAAAAGTTAACTTTGAATTTTAAGGAAACTATGTGAAATCTTAGTGGATTTACATGAAATTCCAAAAAATGACATGGAATTTCAGTGGAATTTTACAAAAAAAATACTCCTGCGAAATTTCATGAAAAAAACTCAGAAAAATGACGTGGAATTGCAGCGAAATTACATGCAATACAAATTATTTGAGCCATAAATAAGGAAGTTGTGAATTTCCTAAAATAAAATTGATTTTGCAAGAAAAATTCTACAATGTTCTGGAATTAATTTTTTCATATAAAATCTACTGAGGGGGATAAATTGAAATTTTTAGGATTTATTGAGAAGGGTTTAAGGCAAAATATACTAGAAACTCAAATCATTTGAGCTTCGAATAGGAAAGTTGTGAATTTATTAAAATAGAATTAAGAAATGAAAAGGGAAATAAGGACAAAAATAATGAGAAAAAGTTTAAACAGGTAGAGAGCAAAGACGCAGAAATGATTTACTTAAATTTAAATTATTCGATTGAAAGATTACATAAACCAATGACATATCATTTTTGGTTTAGTTTAAATTGTTAAAATTGTCCGAATTGTATTAAATTGGATTTTAGAAAAGTATGCACCAGACAATGAAACAATTTCATATTCAATCCAAAACTTACCTACAAGTTTTAGTTTTAATTTGATACTTACTTTTTTTTCGATAATGAATTTCAGTATCAACTTTCTCCATTTTTATCCAATCTTACCAATTTTATACAACCTGAAACAATTATAGTAAAATAACTACTGTGCAGTATTTATTTTTGTCAATCATCCTATAAAATCAAATGTACTTGAAAATGATAAAAGTACTTCGTTTTAAATAATTGGTACTTGACACGTAAATTTTTAATTATTTCAGCTACCTACCTATTATAGATTAGTTATCAATAAGTACCATTTATTAATTAACTAATATTTTAAATTCTTTGATGGAAGTTGATTAAACTGATATTTTTTAATTAGTACAAAGTTCTGGAATTTTTTTTGAAAGTTGCCTCTAAAATCAATTGTTACTATAAAAATTACTTACTTGCCTTGCCATGTTTTTTCAATCAATGTTTTCCAATAGAATCTCTCATAATAAATAAAATCTTGTTTTCTGCTGAAAAAAATAGATTAATAAATAATTTAAAATATATACGTATGTAAAAGTTACTTACTTTTCTACAAATACATTTTTAAAAACTTCCTTATCTATCTATGACTATTTTTGTTTGAAAAATATTCCCCAATTATGTATTTACGTTTGTCAGCCAAGTATACAAAAAGTTTCCTACTGTGTCATGTGTGTGGGTACTATAATTTTTCAAGTAATTTGTTATACCGGAAGATGATGTGCCAATTATTTCCATTTATCCCGCAATCACAATTTTAATTAAATTAATAGTCTATTTATTTTTTTGTTTTGGAAAATCCTTGACTTTGTAAAAATGATGGAAATTGTTTGGGGACTTTTTAGAATCAGAAAAAACCCTGAAAAATATATCAATAAGTAGAAAATTCAAAAGCGTCCAAATTGTTTTTCAATAAAAAAAAAGTTATGAACTTTCAAAGTTCTTTTCCCAAATTCCATAGGTACCTACACTAAATTATTCTGAGACTTGGAATTGGATTCTATGAAAAAAGGCACTCAGAAAATTGAAAAATTGATAAATTTATCTCAAATTACTTAACACGATTTTATTTCTGGAACTATAAATCCAAATGAGCTGAAATGTTCAGGGATTGAAGTCTTCTACTGGGATAAGAATCGCTGAAAAATTCAGCTTTCTTTTTTAAATAGAAAAAGTTTTAAAGTTTTCCAAAATCTAAATTAAAAGGTAAGCTACCTTCTTATTGAAATGATGAAATTTACAAAAAAAAAATTATTGAGATTTTGGGTCTTAATGGTACTTTGGGATCCCCGATCCCCTAAACTCCATACACTAAATTAGTCTTTTGGAGCCAGATTCTATGAAAAAAAGGTACTCAGGAATATTAAAAAAAATGATAAATCACTTCAAATTGCTTAACTAACACGACTTTATTTCTGGAATTATAAATCCAAATAAGCTGAAATTATCAGGGATTGCAGTCCTCTACTAAGATAAGAATCGCTGAAAATTTCAGCTTTTTATCTTTAATAGAAAAAAAGTTATGACCTCTCAGATTTTTCCAAAATTTAAATCAAAAGGTTAGGTAACTACTTAAAACGATGAAATGTCAATTTTTTTTTTTGTTGAGCTGTTGTGTCTAAATGGTCCTTTGGGATTTTTCAAACTTCATACACTAGATTAGTCTGAGATTTGAAGCCAAATTCTATAGAAAAAGGCACTCAGAAAAATTGAAAAATTGACAAATCAAATCACCCTCAATTGCTTAACACGATTTTATTTCTTAAATTAAAGTCCAAATGAGCTGAAATTTACGGGGATTGTAGTGTTTTACTGGAATAAGAATCGCTAAAAATTTCAGCTTTCTATCTTCTTACTAAAACAGTGAAATTTCATTTTTTTTGTTGAGATTTTGTGTCCTAATATCTTCAAGAAGTACCAAAATACATCATTTTGGGAACTTCGCTTGACTTGCAAATTACTTTGGAGGTGGTTTAAGAGGGTAAAACTAATAATTGCGATTCAATGAAAAAAGGTTTTTTATGAAAATATGGACATTTCCAACCTAGCTCGGGCATAAACAATACTGGAAATCATCGCAATACCCAAATACATCGTTTGGGGAGCGGATATTTCCAATTTCCACTCTAGTTTCGGGCATAAACACTATTGAAAATTAGAGGCATTACTAAAATAGATCGTTTGAGAAACTGCACTTGACTTGCAAATTACTTTAAACAGGGACGTAGCGAAGGCCTCTGGTTTGGGGGGGGTGACATTCCTAATTTTCCCAACTTTTTTGAAACATAAAAAAAATCATATTGTCGCGGCTTTGGGTTGCCTGCTGACAAAATTCTTGGGTTCGTGGTTCGTTTCGTTTATTCCAAAAATCAAAGTCCAATTAACACATCAATAATTTATTCCACTTAACAAAACACTCTGACACTAATTACTTTAATAACTAACTCAACAATTAAACTCTTTACAATCACTATTTAACTCGTATCACAGTCAAACTTTAACTCAAAACTACAAAGCAATAGCAGCCTTTATATATCCCTAAATCTATTCCTGTAAAATCTAGAATACACACGATAATCTTATTTTCCCGAATTAAGTAGAATAATTCACTAGATTCTAGTATACTCAAGAGATAATACCGAGAGATTCTTGACAGCCTGGCGGACGTTTAGCTTCTTGTGACAATATATAGCATCGTACACGTGTTAAAAAGTGAAACTTTTTAAAAACTATTCCCTTCCTCATACAACTTTTAGACATAGCGCATGAGTCGAGGTATAAAGACGAAAGGCTACACAAAAGAAAAACGCGCATCTGTAGTGACGTCACAAGGGTAACGACGCTTGACAATAATAGGCAATCCATTTTGTTTATAATCCTTGGTTTGTGTGAATCGTTCGTCGGCTGTCATTGTCATTGGCTGTCTTTCTCCTTCTGTCTACGTTATATCTTTCTTCTCTCTCGTCTTTCGTGTGCCGAAATTTGCCAAAACATGTCGTTACGTTAACGTGACGCGTCTTTCAAAACAATTTACAAGAAGTTTCACCTAAGAAAAATCATGTGCAGCGCATTGTGCACGTGTTGGGAGGTGAAACTTTTTAAAAACTATACCCTCCCTCATACAGCTTTCAGACTTAACGTATGAGTCGGGGTAAAGACGAAAGGCCACACAAAAGGGAGACGCGCATCTATAGTGACGTCACAAGGGTATCTGCGCTTGACAACAATAGGCATTCCTTTTTGCTTATAAACCTTGGTTTGTGTTAATCGTTCCTCGTCTGTGATTGTCATTGGGTACATTCTGGCGGTCCCAGCGGCTAAGCTCAGCCACTCATCAGGGACTTTATTCTCGAAACCAAGGAACAGTGTTCTCATAAGAACGATTGCTCTGTCATTGTCAGTGTTATGCCAGACGACAAAGACAGAACCTTCGTTCCAATGAGAACGCTGCTCCTCTGTTTCGAGAATAAAGTTCCTGCTGAGTGGCTGAGCTTAGC